AAAGTGGTCAGGTCGTTGAGACCATTGGCGATTCAGATTGGGCCTTTTGGCTTAGTTAAAAATAATTTAATGAAAATTGTGATTAGGGTTTTAACAGAACATACAATGACCTTGTTAATCACGTTTTGAAAATACGTGCACATGCACGAACGTGTGTATCAAAATAGCAAAAGCGGTATCAGTTTGATCACAAATAGATTAAACATTATGTATGAATAGTCTGTATGCATTTTTATCTGTGTTTCCAAGAATTATAAATGCAATATTTTATCGCTACAACAATCACATTGTAATAATAAAATTTATGTACTTGCTACTGAAGTTGCTAGAAAATTAATAATAATATTTTACGAATGTATAAAAAAATATGACGCCATGGTTCATTCGAGGCATGGCACGGAAAATAATGACCATCCGTCAATATTAATAAATGGCCGCACTGGCCGCAGTCTCCGGAAGAAGTAAAGTAACAATTGTCCTATAGAAAAATTGTTGTCGTTCTCATACATCTATGGTTATCGCATATTAAGTATATTAGTCATGATAGCAGGTTGAAAATTTTCACGGTAGTAGCCCAGAAACATTATCGTTGGATGCCATTCTTTTTTAAACCTCAAAAGGTTTGTAATTTTGAATTGCAGAAAAGCTAATTTTTTAGCTACAAATAGATGGCAATGGTTTCCTTTGGGGTTTTACATATTAAAATGTTGACAGCTCAAATCATCCTGAAAATTTTGGTGTCATGTGGCTGAAAATGAACTTTTATGTCACCAAATATGACCTTTAGCCTTTTTGATGTTTCTTTTAAACAAGAACGAGATCCATCTACAATGTTTCTAAGCTACTACCATTTTCAAGCATGTTGTCCGGCTGTAAAAAAAAGTTAAGTAAAATTGCTATCAATACAACTGTTTGATAAAATTCGTCCAGGATTACACGACTGATAAGCAAAAGTTGATAAATTTTACTCAATTTTGAGTAACGTTTATCCAACTTGTTGCATTGGTGGCAAATTTGCTCAACCTTGAGTAAATTTTGGTGAATTTTTTTATTGTGAGATAAAACAGTATTTTTGTATTGTGCAATTAATTTTGTTACCCAGTGCATACTTTCCATATTATCAACTTTGGCAGTTTGAAATTATTTCCACATGGATCATGACCATGAGTATCAGGATTTCAAAAATGAACTAAGAAATATAAAGATATAGAACAGGACGAACGGGCGATTTTTTATTTGTAGTCTTTCATTAATTTTAGTATTTTTACCAAATTTATAACATACTAAATTCTATTATGAAATTAGAGATTATGGTACTCGTAATTATTTCTGCCGATATTTTATAACATTTGTAATCGAGGGCATCCCCCCCCCCAAAAATAACTAACCGTTTGTACATTGTTCAATGAGCCATCAAATTGACACATACATACATATATCTACATAATTACCTTATTCCGATTACTGGAATTATTAGGTACTAAAGTTACTCATCAATGTATAAATACCTTCACAAACTAAATATTTACATATATAGATATTTACTATATGTTCTGTTATAAATTATGAAAGATATACCGATAAACTCGATTTATAAACTATGTACATACATATATACATGCGTTCTTGTGACTGTTTGAAATTATGTACGTAATAAATAAATAATTTATTTAGCTACATATATTTTCTGAGAGCTTCATCAACTTTTCGTAAAAGCAGACATCTGCGACATACGTTAATGCAAAAAGTACGTATGAATGTACAGGTATTATAAATATGCAGACTAAAAAACTATCATAATGTAAAACTATCATAAAGTAAAATTCTCTTAATAATTTACTAAATAGTCGATGACTTCTGTCATTTGTATATGTATATGTATACATACATCATTTTGGTAATACATACATCCAAATAGGTATGTACAGATGTACATATACCTATGTATACACATATTTTTAAAACGTGATTAACAATGTCATAGTATGCTCGGTCAAAACTCTGATCACGATTTTCATTAAATTATTTTTAACCAGGCCGAACGGTCCAATCTGTATCCCCAGTGGTCTCAACGACCTGGCCACCTTCCCCTCCCACGTCCCCCTTCTCAAATCCATCTTTGTCCTGCACAAGTAAAAGTTTGACCTTTCAAACACCTTGGCTGCTTCAGGAATCAAAAGTACGACGAATAAAAATGCCAATAAAGTGGCAATCGGTACCACCAAGTAGAGCAAAATTTGCACCTGATTTCGCATCCGTATCGTTCCATAGATTCCGAATATTAGAAAAGATACCCCAAAAAATATCAACGGCGGGACGGCTAAGCAACAAAACTTTTGATTTGTGAATTCCATCCAAATCATTAATTGTCGGTAAAGTTTGATCTCCCGCATCGTCAAGGTTCGAACATTCCAAATTCCTTTTTTACTCTTTAAGCTGTTCAGAATTTGTATTACTTGGCTGACCGAGCAAACCACCAGCAAACCAACGATGAAGAAAGCATTCACCGCTTTCAATAACTCATTGAGATAAATTAATGCCAAAATAGTCCGAATGGTGTATGAAGCGAAAATCAGTGGTGACGATGTTACCATGGAAATCATACTTGTTACCGCCGGGTAGAGTGGATCAATTTGAAAAACTACGATGCGGACAAAGATTGCGGGAAATGGATAATTGCTCAACCACAATTGGAATTTCATAGCATTTATCAAAATCGTATAGTTCGGAGGAGACAGGTTTCCCTTCGTATCGTCGGAACGTTTCCTGATTTCTGGAAGAGAATCAAGTTCATAAATGTGTAAAAATGCACAGAATATTACAATTAAATTAATTTGCGTGGAAAATCATACATTGAAAATGTACTAATTTTCCTCGGCAAGCTAAGCGTTAAGATGCATATCTTATTACCTAATGACCAATGATTTCATTTATCTTCGATTAGATGATGAATGAAGAAAAGGCAAATTTTAGACTTTTTTATGTCAGTGGAAATAAAAACAAAATATGTAGACCAAGAATATTGTGGGTATTCAATAAGTACCTCCAATAATGAGTACTACTCATTATTATTTCTTCGTGTCATAACATAACCTACGTCGGTCACGAGATTTTGTAAGCGTCGTAAGATTTTATCAAAAACCACATTACCAATGTTACGATTTTTACGAAGGTTGTATACCCCTTGTATTTTCTTCGTAAACTATGTCATGATACGAAGAAATAATTAATACCTAGTCTCCCGAACATTTAAATTTTGTTCTCAACTATTTATTACCATTCGCTAACATCTTAAGTCCAAGGAGTGGGTTCATAATGTATACCGCTATGCTTGCTCGCATGGATATGATGACCCCCATCGAGGCGAAAGACAGGGGAAGAAATGTTAAAAACAGAAGCAGATAAGTTCGAATTATTTCCAAATCCTGGTCTTGATTTTGTCGCCAAACTTCCGTTTTCCATAACCAGACGACCCGTAGAAAGCAGTAAATCGTGTGAAGCACAAATACGGCGAATGAAAAGTAGACAAAGATCCCTTGCTTCTTGGATAATGGGACATAACTTACTTCCTCCCGATCAACAAAAACACGGTATGGGAGTGGGTTTCGATTTCGAAATTGATCTATGAACGTTTCGAAAACTCGCCACATTTTAAAAATTTTATTAGACTATATAGGTTTGGATGTATGCACATTCGTTTTGAAATTCACAATGTGTGATAAGCCCAAGTTTTTTAGTGGATTCGAGGCAAGTACTTAAAAAAATAAATCAATAGCATATTGGATTTCCAAATCATACATTATTTAGATTGACCACAGTGACCAGAGCTACTATCTAAATACCTAACTCGATACATATGTAATAAAAGTGAAGATATTTATGATTATGGATATAAATATGTAATACTCCAGATTGGATTAATGTGCCTAATGAAGATGTATTTTTAGGGACATTGGCTCGTAAATTTTGAATCCAAATAAATTAGTAGCCAGGAGAATATGGATACATGTATACTCCTATCAGAGCTTTTTAATTAATTAGTGAAATCAATTAATTTGCTAATTAATTACCAATTTTCAGCTAATTAACAATTATAAATTAGTTTTAATTACCTTACTAGAGTAATTAAACTGAGTCAATTATAATTAATTAGTTTCGTGATATTTTAACCAATTAATTAATTAACTAATTGATTACTTAATTTTTGAGATTTATCTGGTTTGCGCTGTTTCGTTTTCCCAGGTAAAGTGGCGTTTTTTAATCTGGCAACTCTCCTATTCTACATGACTTATTTTCAAGCCCTCATAATTAAATTTCATGCAATAATTTCAACTTTGTTACAATAAATAACTGCATACTGTAAAGTATATAAGTGCCAATAATGGAAGACGATATTCTCAAAAATTAATATGAAAATCTTAACAAACTAACAATGTCAATACTCAAATACCATCATCAGCTCCAGTTGAACTTTACTTGATGGACTGATTATAATCATTCCATCAATTAAAGGATACATAAATGTATCCGAAATATGGGCGATGTTAAAATGTAACGATTATTATAAATTTGAGTTGCCGGTAATTATTTCTGCCGTCCGTAATTTTATATTGTAGCTTGTAAATTTGCGTTGAAAACAATTCTTTTTTTAACTAATTAATTATTTTTCGAGAAGTAATTAATTAGTAATTATAATTAATTAGTTGAAGCTCTCTAATTAAAAATTGATAATTAATTAGATTAAAGATGTCAGCGCTAATTATTAATTACTAATTAATTATTCTTTGCGTTAATTAAAAAGCTCTGACTCCTATATGAAAATACTTAAATATCTATGTTAATCTGATTAATTAAAGCGTGCTGACGTGCAAGACTTTCTGCACGAATAAAAATATTCTGATATGGAGTTTTAGCATGCCGATGCATAACAAATGTGAAATACATAATAATCATACACTCAACTTTCGTAACCATTGATGCAAAATGAAGTTAGCGTATGCTAAATTTGGAAATTTTCTTTACTTCATACAGCAAATTATGGAAAATGTCAAACCTTCATTTTATACAGATAAATACTTGAACATCCTTGTCTTGAATGTTCCAAATGCATTCACATGTATTTATGACCAACAAGTCTTAGATATCAGAATTCTCGTATTTCGAAATTTTCAAATTCTTTAGTTTTTAAATCAATATTACAGTATTTTAATAAATTCATTAATCTGCGTGCATCCAAAAACTTTAGACGAATATGCAATTATACAAATTTCCACGTGGACTGACAACATCATGATATTTCTTCATTTCCTCCCCACAACTTTTTCATAAACTTCCGGAAACGCATTCTCACATTTGAGCTCCGTTCTCACTTTATGGTACAAAGTGGGATCAAACATTTGATAAAATTCGTCCCGGCTTAGAAATGTATTTGCAGACAGACCTTTCCAACTATATAAAAAATAGAAATTGATAATATTTATTTTCAAAATCTTTAGGTTTTTTGCAGAAATTACCAATTATTTCGCAGGCAAAACTGTTCCAAGGCTTTGTTCGTTTTTACAGGTTCAAAATCTTGTTTCTCAGACATTCCGTAAAGTCCAATATCCATGTGCATCTTGTCCGCGTCCCCGCCAAATTTAAAAAATCCTGGTTCCTTCAATGTCTTTGCTGGGCAGAGCCATACGGGATAAATCTGAACATATTAAATAAACTTAAATATGTATTAATGGTTTCCACAATTGCCTTTACGGGTATTCATTATTCCTTCGTAACCTTCGTTGTATCATAAAAGAAGTTACGACCGTTACGATATTTTTGCAAGAGTCGTAAGATTTTGTCGTTAAAAATCACGTTTTATAAGGTAACAATCTTTATGAAGCTTGATCTCTTGATTTCTCTTCGTATAGTATTTTATGATACGATGGGTACGAATCGTACCCATCGTATCATAAAATACTATATATGTATATTTGTTCGTACCGTATGAACAAATAATGAATACCCAATTTTTATCCTTAGGCTCGTAAAATAGTTTACAAAGGAAACACGAGGAATCAAGCTTCGTAAAAATCGTAACCCTAGTAACGCGCTTTTCAATGACGAAACCTTACGACCCTTCCCAAATTTCGTAACTTACTTTACGATACGAAGAATACCAAGAATACGCAGGAATCGTGAATACCTTAATTATGTGACAATTAAATTTATGACTTAATTATTATTTCACTTCACCTCAACCTTATCGTGAAGGTACTTCATGGCCATTTTCATCTTCTCGATCGGCACGACGTGATCCTGTATGAGGAGATTTTCCTCGAAAAGTCGCCTTAAAAAGAGAGGTATAAGTTTATACCAGTTCATTTCACAGGGGGCGACCCAACCGAGCATCCAGCGCAGTGGGGCTACTTCCATGTACGGGATGCAGAACCGGGTAACCCAAAAGATGCAGTACGTGTGGCGATGATAGTAATGTCGGAGGGGGATATATTCCACTTTGGGGGCAGATTGAGAACATGACAAGAAGCTTTCGACGTGTTTATAGAAGGATTTTTTGTACCAGCGAGCAACCGAGTTTACCTTAAATTCCAGAATTTTAGCGGTAAAATTAGAATTAAGAATGGAATCTGCAAATTCACTTACCTTTCCTGGTTCGGCTTTTGAAGTTAAGCTCCCCACCATGATAACCCCCTTATCCAAAGAATACATGATCCCTTCAATAAAATCGTGGCCGGGTGTCTTCAGAGATTCTTTTGTAATCCGTTCAGTCGCCTCGTCCAACGAGTTGACCGGAATGTAGGATAGCTTCACGTATCTGAAAATTTGTAATTTTTTGAATATTAAAAATTTGAGAAATTAATTCATTTGGTTTCATTCTCACTTTTCTGCTTTCATTAATCTAAACTTGGCCGCAGTTAGGAATCCGGTAGTCCCATATGACCCAGGAAGTGAATAAAATAGGTCTGAATTTTCATCCTGGTGAATAAAAGAGGGTTAAACATGACAATAATTTCAAGTTATTGATTGCTTAAATTACAAAATTTTTATTTATTTATCAAATTATGGCAAACAACAAATGAGAAATTCACGCATTAGATTCACGTCATTAGTAGCTTTGTATGTAAGTAAAATTCGGAAATTTTGTAGAATAATTTTTACAAACTGTTACTATAAAATAAAAAGACACCCTTAATGTTAATAAATTTCAAGAAATTCTTGAGCTAATTTTCACTACAAACATTTGTAAGGGTTTATGGATTTTGCAAAGTTACCAAAGCCTGCGTAAATTGTCTAATTACCATTTACATACATATGTACATACCTCGCTGCAATTGACAACTTTTCCAGTAGACAAAACCATCTCGTAAGAAACGCACGTGTTGTGAAATAGGCCATACTTGTGGGAGGAGGTTTCCACCCCAGCCCCACAAATTAGTCCTCCCACCGTCAAGAAGTCCAACTCCGGCACGACAGGGATCGTCCATCCCTTCGAAATCAGGATTCGCGTCAATTGACCAATCTTTACTAATGGTTCGACAGTTACGGTCTGTTCATAATTAAACTACATCAGCTTCCATACATATGTACGTAATTATGCATATTCAATCTTAAAAATTATCCAAGCAAGAACTTCAACCGCTTTCCTACAGAAATTTGGCCAGGCTCACTGCTGAAGCTTGGCTTAATTTTCTGGAGAAATTTGGACTAATTATCACCAAACAAACTTTATACGAACGATTTGAGCATAAAACTTGCAAAATTTTTTGCAAACGGTTCTACAAAGTAAAACGAATGGGGATTTTCTACAGGTTTATGTAAAAAAAAATCTGCAGCATATGCAAATATATATATCAATCTTAAGCTTTTATCGGTTACTGCCGAATTAGTAACTGCGATTTATATCCCTCGGTGAATTAACCCGACGAACCAAAATCTGCAAATAATGTAGTAAATTTGTACCAATGGATTAATGCATATTCACCGTTAAAATGTGAAGCTGATTCGTACTAATTTTGTACAAGTCGCATATACAAAATTCATACCAAAATATTGTCAATGCAACTTTATTTGTACAAAATATGTAATAGAGGATTCCTAATCTTATGGTGGAATTTAATGCTACTGCATAAGGTAGCTTAACATAAAAAAAGTGTCAACGCACAATGTTAAGTATATCTTTAATTCTGTGATACCCTTCCTTCTACAAATAAACTAGAATCTAGCCTACATACATATGTACCCCTTAACTAGAATAATATCATGCATGAAAAGTTAAGAATTCCATAAATTACACTAATAAATATTTTACAACGTATATACATAATTATTTTATCTACATATATTCGCATGCCTAAAGTTCACGTCACAACAATATCCATGGAATAATCCAGCATGGACTTGAAAATAAATACTTTCTTCTCTCTGTCCAAGAAGAACAGAGTTATCTCACCAATTCCAACAGCCAATATTAATGGCTGAAAACTTTTAATACATCTCACCATCTCCCTCCTCTTCCTCACATTCCCAACTATTGCCAGCCCTGTTTTGTATTTTTGCAACAACCTCTTACTCTTCCCATGAATGTATACGCTATAGTTACAAATCAGCAATTGAATGTAACCAGTAATGAAGATTCCCAATCCGACCAGTAACAAGAAAGTTGTCGGAATTATGGAATGCATTCGTATCACGATATACACAAAACCGACCAAGAACGTCCCAACGATCATAATTGCGATGAACGACCCCAATTTATTTATTTCCATCGCGATTCGAAGGAGGATCACGAGATCCTGATGCACTTTGAAGTGTCGCATGTCACCTTGTTTTCCGAGGGATAGCACGTGGTCGAAGTACGCGTCGGCCAGGTCGATAAGATTTTTGAAGAATTGCGCAGCCATGATGGCTACAATTGCGAGCAGTATGAAACAACGGAATAGGTACATTATGGAGATTAGTAGCCCGAAATAACTGGCTAGAAATCCAAGTAGTTTGAGACCCGCCATAACTTCGGGTGGTAACCACGTGTACATCCAAGGGAATTTTGAAGCTGTACTATGCCCGCAGTGGGCTGTATCCCAAGCAAGACGCCAATCAGAATCGCTGGAGGGGGAAGTATGATGCCAGCCCAGACGAAGAGTCGGAGGGTATAGTTGAGCAAGTCGGGACGACGGATTATTTTCCGTTGGGCGGGGACGGCTGGAAAAATTAAAAATGTAACCTTGGTGTGTAAATTCGCTTTGTTTAGTTGTTAATTTACGATTAGTTTGGAGTAGTGGGACAACAATATTGCTTGATTTAAGTTTTGAATTGTGTTGCAAATTTAACTGGAAATTAGTTTCTTGTCAAAAGTTACTTATTTTCTTTGCATTTCATAAGTATTTTTTTAAACTAATTTTGCAAACCACAAAACGACTAACCCATTGGGGGAGGGTATAATTTTAGTCCAACTTGACGACCTCGGACGTTAAGAAGGGTATAAATGAAAACATTATGAAAAAAATAGTTTGCAGCATAAGCAATTTAAAATACAAAAATTGCAATCAAAATTTGCTGAGGTTAGTAAAACCTTGTAAAGAACGGTGTGAATATCAATTAAGTAAAAAATGTTTTCATTTTTTTTAATTAGCGATTACCAGCGATAAGATTTCAATAAAAGAAGCCTATTAAGTATTTAGAAAATCATAGAGTACGGTTTCATTCAATTAGGCAAGAAAACCTACGAAAAATTGTTTACCTTTTCCCAAATTTTCGATGTATTGATCCGTCAAGTTACAAATTACAAATCATTATGTCGTTGTATCTCAGAAGGTCCATTAAAAACAAGAAAAAATATATCCCTTCCATTATAATGAACCACTTTTGAACCATTATACTAAATCGACCCATTGTAGTGATCACGGGACTTCTCATTTTTAAAATGGTTGAAACCCCCAAAACTATCATTCCTACGAATGAGAAGATCAGCGGCATTATCGTATGGATGCGTTTCCCGGATTTTTGGATATGAAGATTGTTCCCATTTGTGCAAAGTTGCATTGGGAGTCCATACCAGAAAAAAGGTTTCGCATAATAAAAACGGTTAAATAATCGAATTGTTTGTGCTTGATAAGGTTTCATTTTGAATTTGGGCTAGGTTATAAAATAATAATTGTTTGGGCTTTAGGACGTTGCGAAAATATTACTCAATAACGTGCTTGAAATCAATCCATTTGTAAAGCTTGTATGAAACGTGTTGTTCTAAATTATCTAATTTCAATGTCATGAACAATCTAATTTTGTAAATTTTAAAATTTTTTTGTCAAATATAATAAGTTTTTTATTGCATTTTTGCACATATCCATGAAATCATTTTACATATATGTATTTCGAAAAAGCTAAACGACCAGCGCCGTACATAAGTGTCCCTATCTGAATATTAAAAAAACTCTTTTAATTGTAGTTGTCCTAAAGGTAAAAAATCTCATCTAACTCTCGTCCGGCTGGAAGAGATCCCAAAATAGCAGCCACATTTCCACGCTGCACTGAAATACTCATCCTCTGGAGGAGAAATGATGTTGCCCTCTTCTCCTCCGTAACGATCGTGATCCTTGATCCGATTTCCTTGATAAGGGACAGGCCCTCTTTGCCCCACACTCCTATCGTTTCAATGGCTACAGGAACAAAGAGGAATCTGTCCTGAAGGAATTCATATTTCTTAATCTTGGCGTCCTCCGCTCTTTCGGCTGCCGCACCAGGATGAACGCAGGTTTGAGGGAGGTAAGATGGTGCGAAGGTGTCCGAACATGTAAAGTCCCAAACCAAGGGCCTCCCTCTCGCCCATGGGACTAACGTTAGGCCGTCCGGCCTCTTCCCGTCTTGTCGAGAACAACCTGGTGGCTGTTTGATAGCTGGTGCTCCAGCAGATCGGAGCGCTCTCCAAATAACGTCATTTGCCGCGGTGTGTCGCGAATAACGACCCGCGCTCCTCTTACACTTTAGGCCATGATAGCCTTTTGTTGTGACCTCCGCTCCACATGGGCATTTATGAGAGTGGCACACGTCGCATCCAAGGCGAAGCGCGCAAGCGACTCGGAACGTCTCGTTGGGGAGAAGCGTCCCAAGTTGTGGCGAAGGGATGACATTTAGCCACGCCCCCACATGTGGCTGTCCCATAGCAAGGAGTCGGGCTTTATCCTCCGGTGTAGGTGCACTATTCTTGAGGTGCTTGATGGCGGCCTCCTGTTGAGGCTTCTCCCATGCGGCCTGTATACCCCTAACTTCGAGCGGGGGGAGTTCCGCCGGTCCCATGGGGTTCCACCTCTCTTCTCCTTCCTGCTGTGCGGTGTCGGTGCCATGTAGGTATGGCGGAAGTAGGCGCTCAACGAGGGGCAGGGCGCTGTAGGCGGACGCTAGGAAACACGGAATCGCCACGTCTACAGCACGCCTGACCCCCAGGCCACCTTCACTGACCGGAAGGGAGGACTGAAGCCAAGATTGCGGGGAAAGGAAACAGTTGAGAATCCCCTCCATGGACTCCTTAAGTTTGGCGTCGTAGAGGGTGAGGGAGTCAAATCTCCGCCAAGTGGGGGCACACCGCAAAAAGTAAATGAGACGCGGTGTAGACACCGAAGCTCGAAGAAGGAAAAAGGCGGAGTGGGAGGAGAGGTGAAGAAGTCGGGCCCCAAGTGTAGCTAATTGTTCGGCCTTCGCCCCCAGTACAGCCTCGATCGACTCGTCGGTGAGAGGAGCACCCAGGAGTACGGCGGCTTCGGGGGAAATCTCCTGTATTCCCGGTGCTGCCCGACGAAAACGCTCCAAAATTTCAAGGCGGGAATGTTCGTCCGCCCCTAGCACGCCCACTTCACACTTGGCGGTGTTCAGGCGAAGACCAACTTCCTCGCCCATGCGGATAATGGTGTCCAGCGCGACTAACACTTTTTCTGGGGTGTCCGCTATAGTGGCATCGTCCAAATACCACAGGTTTAGCTCCGTTTCGACGGCGAGGATGATGGGTTGAACGACGAGCGCAAAAAGGGCGGGACCTAACGGGTCCCCTTGTTCGGCCCCGCGGCGGGAGGAGATGGGGGTGTCGCCATAGTATAATTGAGACGGAAAAGAATAAGCCTGCGATAAAAAACTGAACATTGAGGAGAACCTTTCATGAATAATGTAGAGAATTGTATCCCGCCGAATCTCGTTGAAGGCGTTGTTAAAGTCGACTTTCAAAAAGGCTTTAGATGTCGTATGGGCGTGTCCCCAATAGATGCGGGCCGAATGTGCCGCCGCTTCGGCACCCCCCCTTATCCCCACCCCCAGTTGATGGGGTGCTAGGTACTCCACAAGGTCGGGGGACATTCTTTTCAGTGCGATTTTAGCGGAAAGGCGGCGCCATACATTTCCAACCGCAACGGGCCGAATCCCGCCAGTTTTCTTCTTTAGAGCGGTGAGGGAAGCTCCGTAGAAAATCGGGCAGAAAGGGACTGGAACATTCCCGCTGAGAACAACATTTATAAAATTTACGATAGCCTGAAGTAATTTTTCCCCCACTTCCCCCTGCCCAGTGGCGACAAGGTCTTTCAAAATTTGCGGGCGAAGGGAATCAAGGCCCCCCGCTGACCCAGGCGGAAAGCTTGATATCGCGGTGGTGATTTCTATAGGGTCCACCGTTGGTGGTTCCGAATTATTTAGTGGTTCGGGATATGCGGTTGGTTCCGGGTGTGGCGGATGCTTACTGAAAAGCGCATCAACTGTCTCTTGGCTCCTTGGGGCTATCGTGTCGTCGGAACAGGCAAGTCTAATTGCCCCCCGGATATCACCATCCGCCAGTTTCGCCTCCACTTTCTTTGCCACATTTTCCATCTCTCGAGGGGGCTTGGCGGGAGGTCGTGGGAGTCGTGGCGGTGGGGCTGCCTGCTCCAACAACCACCGGGCAACTCCTGACTTGACCCACGTCGTCAAATTCTTGACCTTGTCGGTCTTCTGGGGAACGGGAAGGCTTACGTAAGGGAATAGAAATAGTTTGCCCCATGATTCTTCGGTTTTGGTTGTGGTCACCTCCTCCAAAACCTTCGTT